TGTGGATGGAGGGTGGAGGAAAGTTGTTTGATTTCAGTACTCTGAAAAATAAAATGTGTAACTCTGAAAGATAGGGAAAATCATTAACGGGTTTTTTTTGTGGGGTTTTTTGGTCTTAATCAGTTTTTAATTATTTTGTTATTATAATAGTTATTTTTATGGATTAAGTTATTACATATGTGTCCTTATCCCCATGTTACCCCCTTTCCCCCCCACTCATGCCTTCACCCCCCTGTTGTCTTGATGGTCGGAGACAATACAATGCCACGAAGTAAAGGATGCTACTACGCTCTTCCCATAACTTCAATGGCTGGGAGTTCCGACCGTGCCAAGGAAGGGCAAAGGGAGAAGCCGACCTTCAAAACTGATGTCTGGCACCTAAAGTCCCTTGGTGGTATCTGCTCTTTCATCCTACATCCTTAACATCCCCATTGCAGATGCAGATAGTCTTGTGTGTCTTTTTAACCTTAAATTAACTTTGTAATGTATTTTATAGACAAATATTACAAGCTATAAGAATTTTAATTCGATAAGAATCTACAGAAAGTATTTTTTAAGTGGAGAAACAGTATGAATGGGCAATTCACAGAAGAGGAAATGGACTATAAATTTTAAAATATATTACAAAAAATGCAAATTTTATGAAATAATAGAATATTTTTTATCTATTAGATTGGCAAAACAAATTTTTATAATATATTTGTAAAAGGGTATGGGCTAACAAAAAGTATCATAGGCTGCATAAAAATTGGGTCGCCCAATCTGGTGGGTAATTTTCTCGGCATCTATTTAACATTTTAGTGCAAGTAAGCATCTCAGTATCTACTACAGAGAACACATAAAATTTTTATTTTTTATCAGAGAAACATCTGCCATCCAGAGTTTTCAATCTACCCAACTAAGGGAGTAGAATTTCAGGGAAATAGCAGAAATGGAGGTTGGGGTAGTTCCTTTGGTTGACTTACAAATCCCCCTTCTTGGCATTCAATGTGTTCTTGGCGTGAAATTTAAGAGAAACATGACTTCAAAAAGAAAGCAGAGCAATGAATTACACTGGAACATGTGTGTTTGCAAGGTCATCTGGTCTTTAGGGCTCTGTCCTGCACAAAATATGGAAAAGCAAAACCATTCTGGGCCCCTGGGGCAGGAGAAATGATTTGGGGTGAACTGTCCTTTCTGGTTTGAGAGCCATCTGCGGCAGGAGTCGTTAGGAACCTGAGCGGTTCTGATTCTGGTTGCCTGATTCACAGTGCCTACTGAGGTGGTGGACCAGTCTATTTGCCTCCACTGAGCAGGGCAAGCTGCCAGCAGAATGCTAAGTGGCTATTTCAGTGGCGCTGATTGATTCGCAGAGATGGCACAGCTGTGACCTCCTCAGTCAAAGTCAGTGTTTTCTTGGTCCTCAAAATTTCAGAGAAATACAAACGCAAATGAAAAATAATGACAAGGCCCACATAGCACCCCAGAGCCATTGCCTCAACAATTATGAATGCCTCCTAGGCTTCCAGCATCCTGCTAGGTGCCGACAGTGACATAAAAATCATCGAAGACATAACTCCTGTTCTCTACGACATTAATAATGATAAAGTAGCAAAAGTTATGTAGTTGTAAAGATCACAGAGTTTAACATTTCTTTTGCCACCTATATTCTGCTTCTTAAACACTAACAGACAAATATAAACATGCCTTGTGCATAATCTTTTTATCTAGAATGCCCTTTTCTTTATCCACCTGGAGAACCTCCGTATATAATACAAAGTCTAGGATGACCGTCACCTTGATGACATGAAGCCTTAATGGCTGTGCACACACTGCAATCCTCATCACTTTCTCTGTGCTCCCTTTAGACCCCCATCCCATCCACACCATTGCAATTCTAGATGTTATTGTAAGTATCCGTGTGTGTCTGAATCCCCCGCTTGGGGGGTGAGGGTAGGGGTCCCCTTTAGTTGAGGTTCATCTAGATTCTGGCTGTCCTTTAGAATCATCTCTGGATATGGTGTGCGCGCGCATGTGTGTGTGTGTGTGTGTGTGTGTGTGTGTGTGTGTGTGTGTGTGTGTGTTTTAAAGTTCAGGTTCCAAACCAGACCCATTGGTTCAGAATTCCCAGGGTATAGACCTGCACATCTTTATTTTATGTTACTCTCCACGAGTGAAGTGGACTTAGAGTCAGGGCTTAGAAGCACTCACTGTGCCCGATTGCTTTTTATAGCTCCGATGCCAGGAACAACACCTAGCACACAGCAGATGCCCAAGTCATGCTTGTGGAGGAATGAATTACTCACATCCACTTTATGTCTCTTTGTAGGTAAATATCTAAATTATACGTGACACCAACTTGCTGGGGTCAACTCGGATGTTTTGTAGGCTTCTCTTAAAGGTGTCTGGGTTTCTACGGCTACATTCTTTGGTTGGTCCCAGTGCTTTAGCATTCAGATAAAGGAAGTGATCTGAGGTGGAAATATTTTCTTTTTAACAGTAAATGTATGAAATTTTGCAATACACAAGCTAGAATTTAAAGGTAGAAGGGATTTATTGCCAAAATGCGACAAGGAAATATAGATTAGTTGCAAAAGACCTCTCTATATATTCATACGCATGTCCAAGTTCAGACTAGAAAAGAAATCCCAAGAAGTTGTCTATTTTAAGGTCTGTGACCACATTTCTAACTGCTCAATGGAAGTTCACATGTTCAGATAATATACTCAAAATGGAACTTACTACATTCTTCCTACACAGCTCCTCCTCCTTGTTGGAGGTAAGGACTGAAGTGTAGATGTTGATAGTATTATATGGTCAAGGATTTAGAATGAGAGAATTTGGTCTTTCCTCTGGCCTCCCTTCCCCAAGGAGAAGAGAAGTAGCCACACAAGGAATAATAGCCAAATATGAATCAAAATATCATATCACTGACATCTGAGTCAGGATCCAATAACCCAGTGAAATGTTTCCTGGTTTAGAACATATTATTGGGCTAGAGACTGAAGTGAGCCATCCATTTCTTTACTACTATTTAAATTTAAATCTTGAAAGCTGGACATTCAGTTCTCCCTGTGTACATTAACGTCTGCCTTTATACCCCCATTGTCACTGGCATAACTCAGGTTCCCTGGGAGAAAGGTCTTTTGGAGGGTCAGCCCACAACCATTTCCATTCATTCAGTGTCCTCTTTCCTTAATCAAACTCTGTAGAGATGGTTCAAGTTTCATGTATCAAACTCTGTAGAGATGGTTCAAGTATCCAGGATAGGATACACTAAGAAATACTCTCAGTTCTTCACTTTTAAACTCAGCAATTTTTTCATCTGATTCTTTTGAATAACACAGTCTTGTCATTTGCACGCAAATCTGAAATAATGGCTCATTCTCAATGTAGATTATTTGGTCAAAAAGACCATAATAAGTATGTATGGGGCTAGGTGGGTACTTGAAATATCGGTGGGGGAGTGTGCTCTGTAAAGTACATGATTGGCTAACCACTATGCTGTACATCTGAAACTAATAGAGAGTCATAGTGAATGTAAACTGTATTTGAAAAACATAATAAAAGAAATAGCCAAAAAAATAAAAGTGTTCAAAGATGAAGTATAGATGAGATTTTGGATAAAATACCGTAGATCTAGGTTTCAGCTACTTTCCAACATGCACTTGCTTATCTCTCCTGTTTCAGGTCCTTAAATTCACCCCCTCATGTAGGGCCCTCCAGCCACAAGGTCCTCCCTCCATTCCTCAAACACACCAAGTTCGTTCTCCAGGGTTTCCAGTCATGATCTTGCTTCTCTGAAAACCAGCTTCTTCCTACGGTTCATTTGCTTATCACCTGCTTTTTTGTTCAGCTCTCAACTCAGAAGCTGTTTCTTCAGAGAGGCTCTGCATTGACCTCTCCCAATCTAAACCAGCCTCTTTTCTCTTATTGTCACTTGTCACTATTTGTATTACATTCTTGGTGGTATTTATTAGTGCAATGCCTGTCTCTCCCACAAAAGGGAAAGAACTCTATGAAGGCAAAGACCATTTCAGCTTGGTCCACCAATGCTCAGTCCATAGCCTGCCTCAAAAAATATTTTTGAATGAATGAATAAAAGACATGGTTAAGGCACTTAACCTATATGAGCCTATGTCCTTATCTGTAGGCTCAAAGTTATCATTAGAGTGAAGTGAGGTGATAAGTTGACCAGTTAGACAATAGTCAGTACTCTATAAATATTATTCAAGACCTTATTAATTTTTTGACTAAATTATTTTCCATGTGACTTGAAATAAGTAATCTGCCTCTTTGTGTCTCCCCATTTTCTTTTATTAATAGGTCCTACCATATGAAAACTCTCAAAAAGCAGTAAACTTTATAATTTTGCATTTGTCCACAATTTTTATACAGAGAAGTACAATATAATTCAATAATTTCAGACACTGTACAACATAATTTGTAAGCAAGATGGAGCGAGGGCATTTCTACCCCATTTAGTGAATAGTGATATTGATAGAAAGGGATTCAAAAGAATTGCCTTAAATCATATTACAACCTGGTGGGATAGTCAAGTTCTTATGAGCTATTGGGCCTCCAGATTCTCTTTATCCTTGACTTGACTCTTCTTATTTTTACTTCTCCAGTTCTGGGAAATCGTTGTGACTCTTTCCTTGCCACAGATTCCTGATCAGACTTCCCTTACTTCATCTTGACCCACTCATCCTTGGGCTGTGCTATTGAAGGGCGATGCACTTTTTAAGGCCTGTAGTTACAAACGTTGTGATTTCAGCCCCAGTTAGGAATGGCCCACACATGTATTCCTGAAATAGAACACAGCTACTGATGATAATCAGTATTGATTAGTGAATCCAAATGCATCTCATTCATGGTGGGTAGAGCTAAATAAAGAAGTATAAAATGTGCATTGTACTGTATCATCAATTTCTCAAACTTCTTCCTTTGGTTCCTTATTTTTTATGTTCCAGGAACTGCAGAGCATCACGTCAACTCAGGAAGCTGATGGTCTGACTGAACTAGTCCTGGGGCTCTTCACAGAAAAGGCAGCCGGGGTCCTGGTCGGCGGGAGATTCCATCTGAACGGTGAGTGAATGCACAGGAAAGCTATTGCTGAGGGCTTTAGCAATCTCTCTCCGAACGCCCTGGCTGTCCCGGCTGGCTGCTGTTGAAGAGGAATCATAGTGAGCCTGACATTGATTTCACACAAATAGGCAACTACTACATCTCCAGCTTCAAGTACTTGGTGGGGCAAGGCACAGGCCTAGTGCTCAGAAGGAGCCAGGTTGGCTCTGACAATCAGCTACACCTACACAGACAAGGTGTGTGTGTGTATGGGGCGGGGGGAGGATTTTAGGGCAGCAAAGTACCCAGACACTATGGGAGCTCTTCTTCACAATTATCTCTGGGGTCTGGCACTCCTAGGAGCTGAGTATGAAAGTGGAAATGAGCCCTGGAAAAAGCCAGGACAGAACTGTTATTTCTTATACAGCCTTGCTCACCAGTCCCCAGGGACCTCTGGGTTGCAGCTCTTATATCTAATCAGAACCTATATTAAGGCTGGTGACAGGAGGCAGGGAGCATTTAGAGCTCCCTACAGGCCTTTCTTAGAGCAGCAACCCTCACTCCATCTTTTCTCTTGTCCCCAAAGGTATCAGGAGGCTGTAAAATTCCCTCCACAGTAACATGATTACTAGGTTCTTCCATTTGCAATAAAATATTAGTGTTGTGGATGCTGTAAATTCCCTGTAGCCAGATCTGAGCCTCTCAGCAAAGATCGGGATGTCTGAGAAAGCAAAGTCCTCAAATGACTGTCACCGATGTTTCTGTACCCTGCGTCTACATAACTTCCTGAGTTATTTTCTAGCAGCTTAATGTGTCTTATTGGCCTGTCTCCCGAGGCAGAGAGACACCTCCCACCACCCAGTTTCTCAGCTCTAGGACATACCCTGGACAAAATCACCTTCTCCTTGAGAAAGTCATTTTTAGAATAAATCCAATTTCCTAAGAATTATCTCACATGGTTATAGAATTTCTAACCATCCAGTAAAAAAAAAAAAAAAAAAAAAAAAAATCACCACTAATTTTTACTACCAAGTATTTTAGGTTGTTAGAACCTTAAGGCCCAGCCGGTGTGGCTCAGTTGTTGAGCATCAACTTAGAAACCAGGATGCCATGGTTCAATTCCCAGTCAGGGCACATGTGCAAGTTGTGGGCTTGATCCCCCATGTGTGGGGCATGCAGGAGGCAGCCCATCAATGATTCTCTCTTGTCATTGATGTTTCTCTCTCTCTCCCTCTCCCTTCCTCTCTGAAATCAGTAAGAATATATTTAAAGAAAAGAAAAAAAGAACCTTAAGGATGGAACCTGTGTATGCTTTATCTTTCTTCGGTGATAGGCAAAGCATCTCATACACAGGAGATACTCAATGAAGATTTATTGTTGAAATCATCCCTATTATTTAACCGTTTGAGTTCCAAGCCAAACAGGTGAAGTCTAATTTTCAGAACCTAAGGACTTCAAATTTGGGTGGCATTTTTACCCACTTTGTCCTACCCTCTTCAGTCAGCCTCTCTAGGAATAGCATCAGTATCATTGTTGCCATGACAACATTGACAAGGGGTATGGTTTTCCAAGGCCCTTGGTAATACAAAGTATTTCACAGTTGTTTAGACAGGTATCGGCCACTAAGGGCAGCTCTACAAAAAGGAGGAAAATTACTGACTTTGCAGAACAAGGACTGAATTTTGTCCAGTCTTACTGACCTGCAGCAACATGAGCCGAGAGAATCACCTGGTTTGTTGTCAAAGACCAGATGTGCAAGCTGTGCACAGACACCACCCCATCCACCGCTAAGATGAGGTCTTTCACAGCATTGTAGTTGAGGTTCTTGGGCACACCTGACAGAAGGAAAGAGTGGGAGGCTATTGTTATTCCACTGAATATAGCCATCTAGATGGCCAATTGGGGCTGTAAGGGCGGGGGGGGTGTCGGGTGGATCCTTAACCTGCCTTTTTCAGGATTTAAGAGCCTTATTCATTGGGATTTTCTCCTTAGGGCTAATTTAAAATTCTCTACAATTTGAGTTTAGTTTAATCCCACTTCATATTATTTCACAGAGATAACAAAGAGTTGGTCAATATGTAATTTTACTTAATTAGCTGCACAAAGCTCAGGATAGCAGAAACAAATTAGTGGGTTTTTTTCTCAGATTAGTCATAGAATGTATATACAATCATGGGTGAAGTTGTTGTATTATAGTAATAATAATAAAGACATAGCTTTGTTGAGAACCTATAGTAGGTCAAGGTTTATGCTAAGTACTTTATTTATAATGATTGTCTTATTTTCATATTTATAAGAACTTTACGAGCTAGTTTTATCAGTGCTATGATTCCTATTTAACTGGAAGAGAAATTGGGAGACAGAAAGGTTAAAAAGCATTGCTAAGGCTACATAGATAAGTGGGATGTCAAGGTCTGCAGCTCCTGCTCTGAGTGTGAGGTGTTATGCAAATGCTAGACTCTAGGGATTGCAACCCACAGTTGACTGTTAGGCCTAGTGTGTCATCTCTGCAGAGTTTCATTTGACTCTTGAAGACCTGCTATCGTTCATCTAGGACCCTTATGATGAAGTCATGATCCCATTACTTTTTGTCTTCTTGCCTCATTTATTTCTTTACGTTCATGAGGAACACAAGTCCACTATTACTTATTTTACTCCATGAAATAATGTCAACGAGCACGAGGCTATGCTCCCACGGACCTCCGTGCTCCATCACCTTCTAGGGACCATTTTTCCCCTGACGGAGAGCCTGCAAAAATATTAATGCATCCAGGAAAGTACTCAAATTAGTGTTAAAATAATTTCCCAGATTAATAAATAAATGAAAAAATCACTCAATTATAGAATTGCATATTAAGTAAATAAGATAAAATATTCCACTAATCAGATTAGGAAGGAAGAGAATCAGCAGTTTGATAATAAACCATGTTGGTGAACATGTGAGGAAATGGGCACTGTTATATTCTATTGGCCAAAAAGATGTTGAAATAGTTTTTAGGCAGAACAAATTTTAAAATGCACAGAACTTTTGAAATGGAAATAACATTTTTAGGAATTATTCCAAAGGTGTACAAATGCTAAAAATATATATATGCACATGAATGTTAATTATACCATTGTTTGCAATGGCCATCAATAAGCAAGTACATGCATACAGTGGAATAGTTTATAGCTATGTAAAAAAATAGGGTGTTTCTATGTATGTATTTAAATGGAAAGATATCCAAGTGAAAAAAATAAGTGCAGAGCAAAATAAGTACAAATCCAGAATACTATTTGTTTAAAAAATACATACATACATTATATGTGTATACATACATTATATGTATATATATATTATATGTATATATGTAAATATTTATATGTACATATATTATATATAATGTGGTATATATGTAAATATTAATATGTATATATATTATACATTTATGCATTTATATATGCATATATATATATAGTTATCTTTTGAAAGATGTATGTCAACTTATAAGTAGATGTTACCCCTGAAGAATGGGACTGAGAATTCAAAGTAGGAAAAAAGGGAAGACCTTTAAAATTCATTTTCTACTTTTGCGTATTATTTTAAAATGTTACCAAAGATAAGTATTCTTTTATGCTATTCTAATTTGAAAACCTAGTTTAGAAATTAAGCATCTACCAGATAGGAGTTATCTGGCAGTTTCCATAATTAACTGTCCTCCCTTTAAATAAATAAGGAAGGTAATCACCAGAGCACATCTACACTGAGAGACAGGGAAGTGGAATCTAGTCATCTCCACCAATAGTGCGCCAATCTGCCTTCTATCCCCCTGGTAGTCATAAGTGCCGTCCTAGCGACAACAGCTGCAGCTCAGCACTTGGCCCTCAGGAAAGGAAATGGGTGTATTTGTGACTTGACAAATCAAATATTGTCACCTCCAGAGCGAGGAAGTTCGCTTGTTACTCAGTGACATTTGACTCCATTTGGTTTCACTGTTGTCAACATTATCATCTGCCAACAACGATACTGTCCACTGAGAACAGAAACCTTAAATGCAGCCGTGGCAGTGAACACTAAAAATGCGAACTGCTTTGAAGGCAGCTGTCCTCTGAGACTGTGTCTCCCTTATTTCAAAATGTGCTAGACAAAAAAGAAAAGTTCATCCAACATCCGGATATTCATGATCATCCAAATGTTTGATACGATGCAAACCTCTGACTCTGATAGAATTTTCTGGGAGCCATTCCCCGCACCCTCCTGTAGGAATCTCTAAGTGCTATGAAAAGACTAATTCAGTGGTTCTCAAAGTATGGTCCTCAGACCAGCAGCAGCAGCATGTTGTTAGAACTTCAGATTCTTGGGCCCCACCCCAGGCCTATGTCTTAGGAAGGGTGTGGGTGGGCCCAGCAATCTGTGTTTTAACAGACTCTCCAAGCAATTCCGATGCCACTAATGTTGGAGAACTGCTGGCCTAGTCTAACTAGGGTGTTAGGCAAGCTCTTCTAAATAGCTACAACGCTGCTAAGGGTAGGTTTATACTGTCTTTCTTGGGTCTTGTCCATACATTTAGGGATAAACTAATATCTTTACAATAACTTCCTCCATGTCTATCTTTAGTGTGTGTGCATATTGTTTTTATACTGAACCATAACATTTAACAGTTACTGGAGGAAAAATAGAAACCAATACTTTTTAGTTGTTCCATACGAAAGAAAATCATAATATTTGTTTTCCCCCAATTCTTTATCAGTTTAAATGTTCTCTGTGATGTATATTAATAGTGAGCATGCCTTGAGGCTACCACCTCTTGTGGTTATAGGGAAGAGAAAACATGGATCTTGGGAATAAAATAAAATCACTCCTACCTTCCATGAGTAAGATGGAGAAGTCCTTTAAGACTGTGATGGTACTGGCCAACACCAGGACAGAAAACACAAATGTGCAGATTGAGTCGGCCATTTTATAGTCTGGCTGGAAAATACAAGGGCTTTAGGTTAACTGAATGTGTGTCTCCTTTGAAGAAAGTCTGATGAATAAAATATGTAAACCTCCCTTTTTCCTTCCCTCTCTATCAACCTTTCTCCTCCCACTTAACATCCAACTTGACACGATATCCAATTCAGAGGCAACTTTCTGAAGACTCAATCTTTCTTTTAAGCCAGGGGTGGGAACCTTTTTTTCTGCCAAGGGCTATTTGGATATTTATAACATCACTGGCGGGCCATACAAAATTATCAACTTAAAAATTAGCCTGCTATATTTGGTCAAACATTTAGTTAACTCACCCCTAATGCCTTGGCAGGGCTGAACCAAATGATTTCTCAGGCCTTATATAGCCCTCAAGCCAGACATTCCCAACCCCTGTTTTAAGCTTGAAACTACCAGTGACGGAAGAAGAGAGACTACAGGGCATCTCCCATCATTTAAGAAGTGAAGGAGAGATATTCTTGAGTATTTTCTCAAGAGGCCTGATTTGACTTCTCAGAAATGAACAGAAGTACAGAGCTTGCGATGAGCTGATTCACATAATGCTCATGGACTTTTCAGCCTTATGATGAGAAGAAAGCCTGTCATCTGCTGAGAGGTTGCATATGCCCGAGGTACAGCTGGAGTTTGGTCTTGGCAGACTGGGGTTAGTGTGGTTTTTTCCCTTCCAAGTATGAGGCATACTCGAGACAGACATCTTTGGTCCAGTCCTAAGGGTACACGCTGAGGCCTCATTCTTGCCTCTGTCACCACTGAAACCCTTAGCCTCAGGGTGAAACGCCTGCTCTTTTGTCTCTGATGCAGTTTTGGGCCACAGAGAAGTCTGCCTCATTATGTCTAAAATTTAACCTTTATAAGCATACTCTCAAACTCGACTAACCCATACAATTTTGAACTATGTTTCCTTAAACTTAAAGCTTTCAGTGAGTGAGCATTTGCTCAACTGAATTCAGATATGTTTTTGTAATTTGTATTTACGTGTTTTCATTTTTAGTAAAATTAATGTAGAGTCCCTGCTAACTGGGCAATCATGATAAGAACAAAGATAAATGCTCTTCTCCATTACCCTCTTCCCCCCTCCCCACTTCCACACCCCCCCACCACTCTCACAGGCCTGTTGGTTCTCAGTGCTACCAAATGCAAATCTGCAATGAATATTTCCTTAGGGTCAGAGGCCCACCCACAGCCATTCCTACTTTTCATGAACACTCTGACCTTTTGGAGAGAAGTTACCTCTGGCCAAGCAGCAGGTACAAGACCTACGCTAGACTCCTTTCCCAGAAATATGAATCTTCAGCAGAATGATAAGAAATTTAAAAAAATGAGTTGAGTCATATTCATTTCAGTTTGGTGTCTGGGACAGAAGTTGGATAGTTTCTGAAATCTAGATAACAAAAGTGACCCTTATTTGTATCTTGATTGCTGCCTGGAGTACATCCAATAAATTTCATATGTATATATAATTATATATAATTTATTTTTACATATATTTTATTTATTTGTTTGTTTATTTATATATTTATTTATTACTTAAGTGAGCTAGAGATTTTTTTCTGTTGCTTACAACCCAAAATCTCTAAGATATTTATGACTCCATTGTAGTGCATACTGACCCAATGACAAAAGGAACTACTTTCTTAAAAGACTGGAAGCCCTGCAATTAAAGACAGAGCTCTCAGGAATTTGGAAAGTCCAAGGTTTCAGGCTTTGAATGTTTATTTGTTTAAAATTTGCACAGTAGTGTGTTTAGGAAAAGAATAGTCTGTCCACCCTCCTTTCTGTTAATTTTGGAGGACCCCCTTTTATACTACTTGGTCTATAAAGTTGCTATGACAGTGAGTTAAAGCAAACATACTCACCTTGAAGTAGATGATGAGTGCGCTGGTTAACACACTGATGCTCTGAAACAGATCCCCAAGCGCATGCACAAAAGCTGCTCTGACACTGGCATTAGCTAGCACTTCCTTGTGACTGTGGCCAGGAGGCCTCTGGTGCAAAATCACACTTAGTCTGAACAAGAGAACATGTTCTCAGCACACATGAGATTAACCCTTAAAAACCTACCCGGCATAATGGAAGAGTCAACAGTAGCATATATTATCCAAATTGACAGGTAATTAAAATATTCATGTTTTAAGATATACTATTTTGGACTAATTTTGAACACAAGTGGAACATAGCATTTTCAATTTTCCACAAAAGGGCAGACAATGAAGATTCGCCTCAGTTTTCCTTTCCGCCTAATGCTCCCCTTTCACATTAAAACTGGAAAGCATCAACTACTCTGATGAAAGCCAAGTATTTTACAATGAGGAGGGAAAATATCATTTATTGAAGGTCTACTTACTGAGCTAGGCTTAAAGCTGAACTTTGATGGGAGCTTAATTAAATGTATTAGTTTCAAATGCATAAAGCAGCAGGAAGGAGTAAAACAAAATGAGTAGTGAATTTCATCAGGGCTGGATTTTTAAATCTTTTACTTAATTTTGTTCATCTACATAAGAATTTGAAATTTGAATAATTTTAATGGCCAATGATGAGCATACTGTGCTTATGTATATGTAGCTATTTATCCAGAGAGTAAAATATATTAAAATATTATAAATGTATTGCAAAATTTAACATTTCCTATCCAAATCGAAGTGTTAAGTAGTAGCCATTATAAATTATGCACCTAGTTCTATTTATCTACAACCTCAAGAGGTATTAGACCAAAGGCAAAATGAGAACTTTTTTTACTGATGGCCAACAAGGAGTGTTTTGCCTAGAAACTTCTCTGTACATTTTGTAACATAGGTTTTAAAGAAATATTGTTTAGTACCACGTACCCTTATTTTCAGAAAAGTGTCTGTCAACTCTCAGACCATCATCACGACGTGAACTGACTACTGCCCACTGGGATTTGCTTTTCACATAATGTTTCCTTTTTAGACTGTCAGTGTTTCGGCAGAAATTGACCCTCAATTCGGAGCTACCATTTCAGGGTCTTCAGACAGCCTCCCACGGCTGGCAGTTACTAGACTCTCTTTCTAGGTCTGCTACTAGTATGTGTGCTCATCATGTTGTCATTCATTCTTTCACTCATTTTATTAAAAAAAGAGAAAAACTTACTTAGGGACCCGTGTATGCTAGGCACTGTTAAATGTTTAGGGCATAAGAGTAAGTGAAAACAGACATGGTCCCTCCCTGTTGTGGCTTCAAGCATGAAGGAGATGCAGAGAATTTAAAAAGACAAACACACACACATACATGGAAAATTCTAATTATAATAAGCCTACTAAGAACCGGTGCTACAGATAGTCAAACAAGGGAATCTGATTTAGTTAGCAGGACAGAGCAATCGAGTAGGATGTGAAAGGTTAGCGTTTGGCTAGGAGGGGAGGGAATGTTCCGGCAGAGGAAATTTGGCATGCAATGGCCTTAAGGCTCTGCCAATAATTTTCATCCTAGAATCCCTTTGCAACCTGTATTATACTTTCTGTTCTGATTTTGAGTCCTCAAGGAATAAATTTATTTCCAAATTGTGGTTGTCTATTCAGACAACACAGCCTCTACCTGTACTTGGAACCTGTAATCCCAGTTCTGGGAGAAAACAGTATAGTCACTCAGTAGCCTTATCCATTAATAACCACCTGCTTCCACAGGGAAGTCAAAAGCTTTTTAATTCCCTTATCTTTCTGAGCACCTGAAAATTAAGGTCAAAGTTCAACAGCAGTTGCAGTAAAAAGAAAATGTGCGTGTATCTGTTTAGAAGGTCAAACTCAATCACCGAGGGTCCAGATTTATGTGGTAGTTAGCTAGGGGTACCCTTCATCTTCGTGTAGCATCGATACAATTATGTGCCATATGACTTGGGAAATTATTAATATTTTTATTCTTCCTGCTGCCTTGTGGACATGTTGTTCTCCTATGCAAAGATGATGTTATTGATCCCCCGTCAGCAGGACATGTGCTCTGGCTTGTCTCCTAGTGGTGATAGATTGGGATTGATCTCCCCAATGCCAATGTGAAACACTTTTTCAATATAACTGGGTGGAAATAGGGATCTAATCAGTTACAGCAGATGAAATATCACTCTTCTAATGGTTTAGCTCAGAGATTTTGGCAATGGTTTGCAAACTAAGAGGTGAGGAACAGAGGCAGGCACAAGGTAAGGGTACTAGAGGGACCTGGGGCGCTTTCTCTACATGTACATGCTCAGCTTTTCCTCTAGTTCCAGAGATCCACTGTGCCCTTGCTTTAAAAACACTGTTTAAGATGCCATTCTTCTATCACTGTCTTCTTCACTTTCATGTATAAGCCTATTGCAGTATATCACGTGGCAATGCAAGATAGACGAGCAGATGATGCATAGTGTATGAGTTTCCTATTGCTGCTCTAACAAGTTACCACAAGCCTTTCTGGCTTAGAACAAAATAAATTTATTATCTTATCGTTTTGGAAGTCAGGAGTCTAAAATGATTGTGCAGGACTGCATTCCTCCTGGAGGCTTTAGGGGAGAACACACTTTCTTACCTTTCCCAGCTCTGAGATGTCACTTACATTCTGTCATCTTCAAAGCCAGCAATGCAGCATCTTCTCCCCTCTCTGACCTGATGCTTCCCTTCTATAAGGACCTTTGTGGTGACATTGGGCCTATCTGGATAATTCAGGATAATCTCCCCCATGTCAAGATCCATCTTTAACTTAATCACATTTTTAAAATTTCTTTTATCATGTAAGGTAACATATTTAGAAGTGCTAAGCCTTAGAATATGGAAAAATTTGAGGGGCCATTGTTCTCTGTACCACAGATGATACAGATAGATGGACAGGCAGACAAATAGATACAGTTTTAAATAGGGTTGTCCAGAATTATTTTGTCAAATGAGAAGGAGCAAATCGACCAAAAGGATCAAATCCCTGGCCTTAAAACCCCATTGTCATAAGCAACCAAGTAGCTCATTTGGGGAAAAGCAGACAAATATGGCAATGATCACATGTCCAGTAGGACATGATCACATGTCCAGTAGGACATGGTCACACATCCCATAAGAGTGATTTATGACTACCTGGTTAAGGGGATGAACCAACAGGTAGAAAATGAAGAGTTTAGCTAACATAGCTTAAGGCAGAATTTTTATAGTCAAAATATTGCAAAGATATGGTAGAGTGCTTATGAGAGAAATAAATTCTGCTATTCTGTTAAAATATATGAAACTAATGACCATTTTATAGGATGTTGCAAAAGAGAATTCAAAAGTAGAAAGGGGACTAAAGTAAATAGAGTTTAAGATCCCTTCCACTCCAGCTCTGTAGGAAGCCATAATATGTCCCTGTAATAAAAACTGAGTAGGAGTAAGTCACGTCCCATGTGGAACCATCAATATGCATGAGAGCAGAATGGCTAGGACCCCATTCTGAGTATGGTGGGTCTAGAATAGATTCAGATCCTGGCTCTATACCTCCTCACTGGCAATTCATTTAACCTCACTGAGCTTCAGCTTTCTAATCTGGAAAGTAGGGATGTTGTGAACATGGAGCTTGATAATGTAGATCAAAAGATCATATCACAGTCCTTGACACATAAAAAGCATTGAAAAATGGTAGCTATTAGAAGCTGATAGTAAGATACTTAAATGAGCACAACCGACCTTACCTTCAGCCATAGAACCACGTGAGCACTCTGTCAGGTCTCTGCCATCCTCACAAGTAGAGGAATTAAACACACACAAGAAATAGCAACAAGAACAAACACACATCTGAGTCCAGACAGGATTAAAGGCAAGCTTCCTGGGCAGTGTGTGGGGTGACTTACACAATATTGGCTGCCACGGCACAGCCTGAAACGATGATCATCACGGTGGCCTGGATCTGGTAATCAGGGTACAGCAAGCGCTCACACGCCAGGTACACCAACACACCAGTCACTGCCCAGACACACAGCATGGACAGCAGGGCACCGAGGATCTCTAAGGATGCAAGCACACAGACGTCCATACACAAAGCATTCATGAATCACCTTAACGTCCCCAAGAGTCATGAGACATTCATGCCCCCTCCCCCCAAAAAAGAAGCTTTAGACTAGTTCACTCTGGTTCACAAAGCAAAACGTTGGAAGGATTTTAGCACTAAGACAAGCTGCTTTCATGTTGCATTTATAAAACACCAGCATCTGAGTTCATTATGCTCCGTGTTACTCAGTAATTTGCAGCAAATTTTAAAAGCGTATTATTTGTTGCCCACGCGTGCTGTTTTCCTTGGGGATTTTAATTTAAGCAGGTGCTAAAATGATTGAAACTTATTAGGAGATGAAATAATGAGACGCAAATAGTAAAAGGCATTTAGAAACTCTTAATTTTGCCATAAAACATTTACAACGTGCCAGTACCAGTAGCTTCTGTGGATTACACAGTAAAAGGGGGAGGCTTCAGAGAGTACTTGAAAAATGAGTTTCATTTGCCAACCCAACATCCCATCAACACAGAGGTGAGCTCAGAGGTATATCAACACTCTAGATGCGTTTTAAGAGCAACGGTAAGGAAAAGAAACATAGAATGTGACATTTACATTGACATTTAAAGATAGGATAGTGTTCAATGTGCCCACTGAGTAAAGTACATTTGCTCACTTAGGAGTTCCTTTATGCCTCACCCTGATCTGCAACTCAATGTTGGAGGTGGATTCAAAAAGCCGACCAGGGTCTGGGAACATTCTGTGAGTCAGTGATTAGGCACATTCCAGAATTTTGACCTCCCCCTTTAAGCAGGCACTGTAACCCCTTGTTTCTCATTGTGGGCACTCCACCATGAGCGCTCCGTCAGTGAACTGTACCTGCCCGGTGCCATCCAAAGGTCAGCCGCTTGGAGGGAGGCTTGGAGGACAGCCACAGGGAGAAGAGGCTGAGCTGGAAACTGGTCAGGTCAATCAAGAGGTGGGCAGCGTCTGTGACGACAGCAAGACTCCCCGCAATGTGGCCACCTGGGGGGTGCACAGTATCACGCGGGGTGAGGATATAATGCCCCACACAGGGTTCCCAACCCACCCAGGGTCCCCAACCCATAATGGGAAATCAGCCTGGAAAGGGAGGTTGGGGACCCTTGTGTGGGGCACAACTAGATTCGTATGTGCGAACCTGAGTTGGTGAAATGTCACAGACCCACAGAGCATTAGGAGAGACATCAGCATGGATCCAATCTGCCTCTTCTTCCCAATTTGACAAGTAAAGAAACAGAGACCCAGAGAGTGGGTAGGATATGAACATGTAGAAATGAATGTCAAGGCCAAGGCCATTCCCAAGGGGGAAAGGTACAGAGACTGGAGAGTGTGGGCATTCTTGGGGATCATCCCCGTCAGACAGGGGCATGGGGATTCAAAAAGGGCAATGCAAAACGATGAGGCTGCAGAGGGAAAGGCCAGATTCACAGGCTCTCACACTGCAACTGGGGACCTGGACTTCCGTCTGTAAAGCCGATGACACAATGGCCCACTGATGGGTTTTTATTTATAGTCTTGCCTTGTGATTTTACCACAGTCTTTACTGCTTCTGTCTTCTCTACTAATTTGCATTATCCACCTGAGTTCGAGACCCCTGTTAGGAATAGGGGCAACAGTAAAGCGAAAGGACAGGCAACCTCTAAAGGGACTGCTGAGTGTCACAGTCTGGTAAAGCATAGAAAGAAAACCCACGCCGAGAAGGCCTGGCTGGCTCTTCTCTCTGTGCCCTGGGCTTCCTCTGCTTCCCTCTAGTTCTCTTTTGAGCAAAGACCTCCAGCCTCCACAGTGGAAGCCAAAGGAAAGCCTCGCTTCCTCCCTCCCGAACAGAACTTGTTGTTCGAGAGCAATAACCTTTATTACTCCGGCTGCGTCTTCCCAGCAAAGAGCTTCTGCTGACGGATCGTCCTCCCAGCAGCTGTTTATTGCCTCCTGCACTAAAAAGCGACGGCGGCTGTCAGTCATCAGCCCTCGGTCATCAGACTCACCTTGTCGGCTAATGATTTTTAAGAATTACATATATGGCTCATAATTGCAATAATCCCCACAGACTGCTGGCTCTCGCTGCAGTTAATAACGGGTTTGTCAAAGTTTAATGGTCTGAGGGAAAGTAGTCTTCAAGCTTGTTACTGAGCTGTCAGTGCAAAAATCACAATGATTCATTAGCCAAAAAGTAACATTTTGCTAACAAATCAGCTGTCCTTCCAATTACCCTGGAATGTTGCTCTATCTGCCAAACTGGGGCCTGATAATGAAGCTGTGTTCCTAATGCATTATTTCTTGCCCAGAAAATGACTGCAGGCAGATAAGCAGCACACCACCATCTCAGCAATGAATGATGATGGTGATTCTATGTGCTGAGCTGAAATCGTAGCCCAAGTCAAGGAAATAAGGTCTTATAGGGTTTCTTCAAGAGGCTCCACTGAGTCAGGAGGCAACTGAGGGAAAAAAATGGCCTGACTTTGGAAGAAGCATGTTAAGGGGGGTGGTGGGGGGCAGTCCGGAAACCAAGAACCATTTTGCAACCATCAGAACTACTTTTAAGAACCATCTAGAAAATTGTGAGCAATCATGATGAGTGGCTGTGGAGCAAAATTGTTTGCAAGAGGTCGTTTGCAACTGAACTTGCATTTGCTTCTGAATGCATGGGGTATGAGTGACAATTAATTCAATCATCCCATCAGTATTTATTGAGCCCTTACTGTTCACAATACAAGAATAGGATACACAAAGATAAAGTTTAAAAATCTCAGTCCCCCCCAGCCTACATGGCTCAGTGGTTGAGCATCGACCTATGAACCAGGAGGTCATGACTGGATTCCTGGTCAGGGCACATGCCCGGGTTGTGAGCTCAATCCCCAGTGGGGGTGTGCAGGAGGCAGCCAGTCAATGATTCTCTCACTCCCTCTCCCTTCCTCTCTGAAATCAATACAAAAAAATATCCCAGCCCCTCTCTTCTGTGATCTCACTAACACTCACTGTGCCGAAGACACACATGACAAATAGGCTAGAAGACTAGAAAGCCACTCCCACTGGGAGCTTTGGGGAACTTTTCACAGGAGAGAGGGGGAAGGATTAGCTAAAAGAGAAGGGTTTCTCAGGGAGAGGTAATAGCAGGAACAAGAACAGAGAGAACTGGAAGAGCATGGAACCTTCGTGGAAAAGCAGGAGGTGTGGAGTTTTGGCAAAATAATGGGAAATCAGACTGCAAAGGTGGGTTGGAGAAACTTGTGTGGGGCACTATATGTCATGTTAAAGAACTCGAATGTCATCCTATAGGATCAGGGGGTCTACTTATGATTTGGAGGCTGGGTTGTGACATGTTCAAATCAGTATTTATGAGGGAGATCTTTGCCAGCAATATGCAGACTGGCCTGGAGGGAGAAGCAGCTAGCAGTTAACACACAAGGGTAACAGCCAAAGGAAATGATGATAAAGGCATGAAGTCAGGCGGCAGCACTCATATGTCTGGATTGCTTGGCAAGATGTAGAGAGCAATGCACATATAACAAGGTAGGAGAGGCGGTAAGGACTGCATTCTAGAAACAGACCCCACTGAGGGCCTGTTGGGTGGAGATGACAGCAGAAGACCAGCGGGGCCACTGGGCCTGGGTCTCATGTTCACCTCAGAGTCAGAGTTGTTGTGAAGCACGCATGATGGCGTTCTGCGCAGAACATAGACATCCTGACGGGAATGAAAGAGCGAGTTGGTTGTCTGACAGCATTCGCCTTGTTTCCCATTCCTGGACTACACCATTGTACGCTAGTAAGCCATATTTTAAAAATTCTTTCATTGCCTTATGAATAGCATTATTATACGATGTAGCTTGTTATGCCAAAAACTCACTGTCTGTGAGTTTGAATTATGTAACAAGTATTCAAAACACACCACAGTTTGCACAGGCATGTTTTGACATTTCTTAAATTTTTAATACCAGGAGCATCAGGAAATGTAAGTGGTAGAAGCTATTGAGACACTCTGGCTTAGGGGAGAGAAGCTTGTGGTTATCATACCACCCACCTGTATCTTTTTCTTACTATGAAGAGACACATATTTTTTTACTCTGAGATACTTCCCATCTCCCCCAGCCAGCCTCCAGCTCTGTATTTCTATCTAGCAACCTAGTGCCCCCTCCATTCCTGCTTGCCTCTAAGCAGTCCTGCTTTGGGATGCCTTTCCTGACCACTCTCAGTTTCTTCCGGGATTGACCTTAGCTGACCTATCTTTTGTGAGTTTTTCGTGTCTTTATGTCCATCTTTTCAAATTGGGATACATGTTTACATCTACAATGTAACTCATCTCTTTATGGCCTTTCTACAATTAGGCATTTCACAAGCAATCTGAAAGAGCCCCAATTCAGATTCTTACCATTTGCAACAGCATGGGTGGAACTGGAGAGCATTATGCTAAGCAAAATAAGCCAGTCAGAGAAAGATAAATATCACATGATCTCACTCATATGTGGAATATAAAGAACATCATAAACGGATGAACAAAAATAGATACAGACACAAAGAAGCATCGAACAGACTGTCAAACCTCAGCAGGAAGGCACGGGAGGGTTGGGGTGGGGGGTCTGGCTAAGAGATCAACCAAGGACTTGTATGCATGCATGTAAGCATGACCAGACACGAGGTGGGTGAGGGCATGTACTGGGGGGTGAGGGAGGCCAGGGGGAGGTCAATGGGGGAAAAGCAGACATATGTACTATTATTTGTAATACTTTAAACAATAAAAAAGAGTCCCAATTCAACAGGTTCAAAGGACATTGATGCTTACAGCCTTCTTGGATCTTGAATTCCTCCCTCCCATTTGCTCTACAAACTGAGTTCAGTTCTCTCTCTAAACACAGATCTATGACCTGATTCTCCTCTTTTTTAAAAATTTTTCTTTTATTGCTTAAAATATTACAAAGAATAGTACATAGGTCTCCTTTTTTTTCCCCCTTGACCTTCCCCCGGCCTCCCCTACCCCCCAGTGTCTTGTGTCCATTGGTTATGCTTATATGCACGCGTACAAGTCCTTCGGTTGATCTCTTACCCCCCAACCCCCCGCCAACCCTCCCCGGCCTTCCCACTGTAGTTTGATGCTGCTCTGCCTCTGTATCTATTTTTGTTCATCAGTTTACAATGGTCTTTATTATCCATAAGTGAGTGAGATCATGTGGTATTTTTCTTTCACTGACTGGCTTATTTCACTTAGCATAATGCTCTCCAGTTCCATCCATGCTGTTGCAAATGGTAAGAATTCCTTCTTTTTTACAGCAGCATAGTATTCTGTTGTGTAAATGTACCACAGTTTTCTAATCCATTCATCTGTTGATGGGTACTTAGGCTGTTTCCAAATCTTCTCTTTTAAAATGTCAATTACTCCTCCAGGCTTGCAGAATGAGTCCAGATTCCCCATTCCGTATGGTCTTTCTTGAACCCCCAACTACTGTTCCAGTTTTATTCTCCACAACCATGTTTTACCCTACACCACTACCTTCGGTAGGTCCTTTCATTGGTAAGTCATAACTGCCTAACTCAAACCAGCTTAAACAGTTACAACAATCAAGTGGCAATTTATTGACTCAGCAACTGAGGACAGATCTGGGTGGGATGGGATTGGGTGCAGCCCACACTCAGATTCAAAAATGTTGGGGCTCCCCTCTGTGTCCAGCTATTGCTATTAATTGTCCTAGAGAAGACAGACTTCCTCCCCCTCGGCAAGAAAAGTGGGCCCCTGGAAGCTCCAGGTTCAGAGCATTTCAGCATAGTATTTGCAGAGTAAACAGAGCTTTTCCCCCCAAGTCTCCCTATGTAAAGGCCCGGAGACTCTGATTAATCTGGCTTGGCATCTCACACCCAGCCTTGTCTATGAGCATGAGGTACCTGGGCCAGGATACCAGAACTGCAACCAGGCAATGAGTGTGAGAAAGCTTGCTGAACACGCAGTACCAGTTCACTACCAACAGTGGCACCCAAATGTGGCTGCCTGGCAGACTCACTTGAATTGCTTCCTGAGAACACATACTCCCTGTCCTGTTGCAGACCCACCCGCTCAGTCTCTCCAGGCAAGGCTGATGTTTACACTGCAGGACCACAATAATAATCAGGTGCTGCTCATTCAGGCCCCTCCATCTGAAAGGTCCCCTCATCTCCCTCTTAGCCACCTCTCCATGCCTACCCCCCTCCCTCAAGGATTGGCTCAAATCCCATCTCTTGCAGGAGTAATCTGAGAATAATAATTGCTTTCTCTGACATGGTCAAAATGACTTTAGGGAGGAAGTGAGCTGTGGGCTAGGCTCTTGAATCATGGCCAGTGTTTTGATGAGTGTGGGGGATGAAGGAAAGTGTTTTTTCATTCAAATGGAAAGTCATGAGCCAAAGCTACAGAGATATTAAGATACAATGATTATTTTTGCATTCAATGAATAAATGGCTGAAACAGAAGAGCCGTGTAGGGAAGTAGTAAAGGAAAGAGACTGATAGTCTGTTTGGCAGCCAGAGGGTGGAATGGCTTGAAAGCCAAAGTAAGAGGTTTTCATTTTGTCCAGGATGCCAGAGCTTCCCAATATATTGATCTCTCTCACTTGGGGCTTAGCACAGAGGGAGCCCCTAAACCAGGCTATTGTTGCCACAGGTATTCTTGCCAGTTTACCTCAGTGCTCAGTAAAAGTTCCTACATCTGCCATGATGGGGAAAGGTTGTGAAGGGCTGAACTAGGCAAAGGGGAGCCAGGGAAAAATTTAGAAGACAGAATCAACATGATGAGAGCAATGTTTTAGGAAAATCTGCTCAAAATAAATACAGTTCAAATTCCAAAGGGTTGTCAGTATCCACATAATTTCTTTATTGACATCACTTTCCTTTGACTCTAAAAGTCACATTAGAGCCGAACCGGTTTGGCTCAGTGGATAGAGCGTTGGCCTGCGGACTGAAGGGTCCCAGGTTCGATTCCGGTCAAGGGCATGTACCTTGGTTGCGGGCACATCCCCACTGGGGGGCGTGCAGGAGGCAGCTGATCGATCTCTCTCATCGATGTTTCTAACTCTCTATCCCTCTCCCTTCTTCTCTGTGGAAAATCAATAAAATATATTAAAAAAATAAAATAAAAGTCACATTAGAACTCACAGACCAGTTATCCAGGAATGAGAAGATAGCTTCCCATTTTACCCCCTAAAAATGCAAGTCATTTTTTAAAAGCAAAGTGATAGAGCATAAGAATGGGTATAAGGAGAAAAGTGAGTTTTTTTTTAATGGAATAATCATCCATTCTCAGATGGTTATTAATTTTTTCTCTATTACCCAAAAGGTAGCATAAATTAATAACCATCTGAAAATGGACGATTACTCCATTAGCATCTGCTAAGCTATTTTTTTCCACTATAATGGCTAGCAATCAGACTTAATTGTTTTCTTCAAGCTATGGAGTCTTATGGCCCATGTACTCAGACTTTTATTGCTTTTCAAAACTGGAAAAGAACTTAGACTTATCCAGCCCAAGACAAATCCAGGGTTGTTAATAACCTGCTTCCACTTGGTTTACAAATATAATTGATAGCACACAGTTCCTAGAGCCAGGGTAAGTCTTTTGAAGGAACTGACCTAATAGCTTGTGGAATAGCAAATAATTTACTTTTAACAGTTCCAATCTGGAAAACGCCCTGTGGATACCCACTGACATCTTTGCCAAAGGAGTATTCTTTTTCATTATTGAAATTCATAAGGTTGTGGACAATATTGCATTGCTCATGAAAGAGACTGACAAAATGGAAAATCTAAAAAGCAGAACCCATTCGAAATGCAATTTGAAAAGGTGATGTCTGGAAATTCACAGCCTTCCAGTAAAGGCCTTGGCACCGCCCCATTTCGAATGCAGCTCAGGAAGAAGAAGAAACTGGCTTGTTTCCGCCAGTACTTTCTGCCTCTGCTTCTTCCTGGATCCTTGTGATGCTGAAATCGATGGCATCTTCTCCCCAGCTGATGTCGAATCAGTATTCTGAAGCGAGACGGCCTTTCATTCACAAAACTCACTTTTCTCCTTATACCCATTCTTAAAATCATAATTAGATTTTGGAGAAACCTGAGCAAAATGATTCTCATGCTTCATTAAAATAATAAACTAAAATAAATTATGTTTATCTTTTTTTTCTGTTAAACAAGGATTAATAAGGAAAGAATAAAAGCTATTATAACATATAAATTTGCATTAATTGAATGTGTTACTACTGACAAGAACCAGCAACAGGAATCATGAAATACCTTAGACCCAAACCCTATTGTTTATAAAAATTTGATAAATGATAAAAGAAACATCAAAAATCAATGGAGAAAATAATTATTTCATAAATTATACTGAAAACATTGTTAGCTTTTTAGAAAAAGATTTTTTTAAATATGTTTTATTGATTTTTTTACAGAGAGGAAGGGAGAGGGATAGAGAGTTAGAAACATCGATGAGAGAGAAACATCGATCAGCTGCCTCCTGCACTCCTCCTACTGGGGATGTGCCCACAACCAAGGTACATGCCCTTGACCGGAATCAAACCTGGGACCTTTCAGTCCACAGGCTGATGCTCTATTCACTGAGCCAAACCGGTTAGGGCTAGAAAAAGATTTTTTTCAATTCTTAAAACATATCTACTTTCACATTGATTTAAAACTGAACAACAAAATGGTATTTATCTTCTCAGTCCCTTGGAAGGCTTACTAGGCACTAAACTGGTGAAAGAGTAGTAAAAAAAATCAGCTAAAAATAAAATGTTCGATACAATTATCTCTATAAAATTTTAAACTTCTCTATGTCAAACCAAAAATTAAACAAAAATTAAAAAGCAAACAAAAAGCAATTAAAGTACTAACAAACATAACAAAAGTTTAATATCCTAATATATAAAGAGCTCCCAGAGATCAATATAGCGAATTATAAGTTCTCTAAAAAACAGACATTAAGAGGCCACCAGGAATGCATTTACAGGGAAATACAGATCACTAATAAGCATGCAAAAAAATATATTCTAGCACTAATGGCTGTTAAAATAAAGCATATTCATTTACATATTAACAAAGATTTCTCAAAGATTAAAATAAGTTCTGGTAAAGATTGGAGAGCAGTCATTTTCATGCAGACCTGGCAGACATAGGAATTGCATTAAGCTTTCTGGATAGCAGTTTGGCAATATGCATCAAGAAATAATGAAAATATTCATGTCCTTCAACCAACTATTTCCGCTTTTAGGACTCTCTTTGAAGAGATTAACCAGAAAGGCAGGCAGAGTTTTATTCAAGATTTTTTATTGCAGCATTGTCCATAAACAGGAAAAAAAAATCCCTACATTTCTAACAATAGAGAGATGGTCCTTTAAATCACAGTGGAGTGTGCATTGTTCAGGCGTGAAAATATTTTCAGAGCATTTGATGGCATGGTCAGAAGCATTTAGTGTGCTCTCGGTTGTGTTGAAAAACTGAGCTATGAATAGAAAATATATTGTATGGAAATACTTCATAATTTTATTGGCAGTTATCACCCTAATGTGGGATGGTGGTGAATGTTATTACGTTCCCTTTTATTTTCCAACGTATCTACAATGAGCACATTGTTACTTCATACTTACAGAAAGGTTAGCTCTCACTTTAAAAGAAGAACCTAGGTCACCCTCCTGTAAGGATGGAGGATTTTCTTTGCTTGTTTAATCAGAGAAGCCTCGTTGAGAAATACTCACCCACAACCTCTGCAATCATGAAGACGAAGCATATTCCCGAAGCAGCCCAGAGTTTCCACTTGGCGTAGACTTGCTCGCTTGCCCTGTTCTCTGTGGCCTTGGCATTACTGTGACAGTGATAGATGGCTCCGGGCTCCAGCACCTCTGGCTTCTCTCCAGAACAGTGATCTTTAGTCACGGGTTTCTGCTGGCGATCCGCACTGCGCATGAGTTCGACAGAAGCAAGAAATGAACATGGTTGCCAACACCACTGACAGCCCTACCCCTTCTCTGAACCACTGTGAGGACATTTGCTAGCTATCTAGGAAGTTGTAATTCACAGTTCCCTCTACAAGAAATATCACGTGCAAGGAACAAGCAAGAAATGTCTCTCTGAAGTCGAGTACTAAAAGTTTTGCTCTTATTCAGTCAAACTCTTCTTCAGTCTCTACTACCAGTGATTAAGAGATATCAAAGGAGCAGGAGGAAGGAAGCAGATACATTTCCTTCCCAATAACTTCATTTTGAAAAGATACTGGATACTATCCCACAAATCAAAAAAGGAGTGGGAACATTGCTAGATATGTGTCTGTGAGCCAACTGATGATTCGAATTCCCACCATTGCATGCCAGCACTGTCACTTTCTTCTCCACGACAACATTGTTAATAGATCATAGCAGTTTTTCCTGCTAAGTCCATGTGGACCCTACGAACCTTCTTCACACAGCATTGCACACAATCTCTACCAATCCATGAAAGTTATAATGGAAGTTGAGACTTACTCATACTTCCTATAGCAAGCAGTACATATCAGTTCTGCTAGTTCTGCTCACGCAGAAATCACTATTTAGAGCCATTTATAGAATTATAGAAGTTCATAGATGGAAAGATTATAGATAACATTTAGTCCAACCCCATAGTTTCTTAGCTGAAATAATTAGGGTTCAGAAAGGTTAAGTAATTGCCTGAGGACAAATAACCGGGAAATTGCAGAGCTGGGATTCCAAGACTTCCTGTGTCTTCCAGGTCACCCCACTTTGCTTCCCTACCTGAACTTCAGTAAATCTAAAACCAATCTTTACTGATGCTATGTTGATGTTCACAGATCTTGAACTAATCATTTAATTGTTAAATAAACTTATTAGAAGCATTAATAAGATTATTAGAATTAAGAGCTTTGTATTCATTACTTTGAAAGATATAAAAACAGAAATAAATTAGCCTCCAGTTGAAGAGCTATTTCACTTGTCTAATCACCAGCTAGAATTAAAGATCTGCAGGCTTTGGCTTAGATGATGATTTTGATTCTGACTCTAATTATCATTATACTTAGTTTTTCTGCATAACAGAATATATTTATTATAGAAAATTGTGAATTACAGAAAAGCACAAACAGAGGGGAAAATCACTGGTAACCTTACCTGCAAGAGACAATTACTATGGACATGTTGTTGTTTAGCTTTGTAATATACAAACACACTTTTTGTACATAATTAAAGACCATATTAATTAGGATTTTTTTATTACAAGTGCAGAAAACAAAGCTCGTGGTAGGTTAATCAATAAGTGGGGATTATTGGTTCTGAAACTGAAAATGTCTGGAAGTAGTGGGCTTCAGACTGATTTATCAGGGCTCTGGATCCATTGCTTTAGTTCTAACTGTGCTTCAGGATGGTTTTCCTCATGATAGTGGGGTGGTTGCCCAAGGCAGTCAGGGCTACACACTTGCAAGTGTCCTCATTTCCAACTGCTAAACAAGAGTTCTAAGTTGCACGCTGAGTTGGCCAAATGAAAACCAACCCCTAGACCCAGGGGAATTTGAATGGGCTGATTGACTCAGACCTTGTTCCAATCAGAATATTGGCTAAAGCCAGCCAAGCTGACTCCTCCTGCTGAGAATGGGGTAAATACTACCTAAATCACATGGTTGCAACTCGCTGGGGATGGGCCAGAATGGATTGTGGATGAAATGCCGGTGTCACCACAGGATCCTACCAAAGATACAGCTTTGGGACCTGAATCTTAGCTGTATTTATTGTTAACATTTCCTCAATTCATTAAATATTCTACGTCATTACTTTTAACCTGTAGAGATTGTTATATTTAATATAGATATGTCACAACATAATTAACTGAATTCCTATTATTGGACAATTCATTTTTTCCAATGATTTGCTCAGGTAAGCCTCACTTTGATTCATATTCTTATATTTAATCTTTGCTCAATATATTATTATCTCCTTAAAGTGTAATCTTAGAAGGGAAATTGCTTGGTCAAAGAGTATCCATATTTTTAAGGACTTTGATGTATATTGCCAAGTTGACTTTGGAAGGTTTGTACCAATGATGTTATTAGCACCCAGGATTTTGAGCAGTTCTACAAACTCTTCATATTGCAATAGGAACCACTTGGCAAGAGGCACATAAAGTATTTATATCTATACATCTTTGCCTTTGTAATGTGATATATGCCCTGATAATAAATAACCATATACTGTAATAGTGTGGGTCCCCAATGCTCATCAACCCAAAGGACCCTGAGAAGGCAGCATGAGCAAGACAGGGCCACCAATTGTTCTAGCACTGTTTATATGAGCACTGGTTTATTTTATATTTTCCATGAATCTTGTGGCCAGAGAAAGATAATTTATCCCTGGACAGTTTAGAAGGCAGAAATCCCACCAGAGCACAGCCTGTGGGCAGTGCCACAAGGGAAAAACGCAAGAACGCTGGCCAATTTTGACTCTTAAATACCACTTTCCTGTAGACCTCAAATTGACCAGTATGGCTATCCTTTGGGCTGAGATTGAACTTGAAGCACTCAGCCAGACATCCATGGCTTAATAGGGTCCATGGACATGGGATGCAGAGTGTTCATATATGTGTATGTGTGTGTTTTATTGGTGCATGAAAAAGTCCACAGTCTTCATTGGGCTCCCCAAAGAATCTATGATTCTAAAAGTTAAAACCCCAAGTTAAAATGCATTCCCCAACATCTCATTAGAGCAAAGTGGTCTAAGTGTCTAGATGCAGTGCAGGCTCTTAAGCTGAAGGATAATGTGAATCTCAAGAAGAATATTTTAAAAGATGGTTCTAAAAAGCAAATGCTATGATGCATCCAAAAAGTAAGTGTAAATTTGCTGCCACTGAATTAATCACTGTAGATGTCCACGTGTTATAATATAGTTGAGGCTCTGAAGAGCAGGAACAATAGACCAGAGCAAAGAAATTCACTACAGCATCACAGAGAAAAAGAGGGAGAAACAGGTTCCTGACCGGGAAAATGAGGGAACAGGATAATTTCTTCCGGGTCTAATTGTTTTTATTTGAAAAGAAAAGAAAAACAGGTTTGACCATTTTTATCATCACCATATCCTGCAAGCTAAACACATGTCTGAGGCAAATGAGACCCTATAACCATAAATGATTGGCTTTATGTGCCTCACAGAGTGCTAATGGTCTATTTTAATGAGAAGGAAAATACTGTTATTTCAATAATGTAGAGATGCTCTATTAATAGTGCCCAAAGTGTTAAAAATTTGTTGTACAAAATTTCTGCCTGACCTAACATGAGTCTTTATTGTTTATGAACTCAAAAAATCACATGTAATATTACTTTCTAAGAAAAATAATTCTTATAAGGTGAGATAATAGATGGTCTCGGTTCTTTGTCATATGTTTGCAAAGCAAAGTTATAAATATCCTGAGAGAGAAAGCTTTTCTTTGCAGCTGCTCAGACAGTTGATTCTATCAAACATGATGTTGCTGCTCTTTGGAATATTAATTCAGTCCCATGAAACAAACAGCACTATGCATATTATTAATGGATAAGTATTTTCTTCACTTCTGCTCCTAAGATAAATGTATTTCAGATTTTCATTCATTCATCTCTACACACTGAGTTTCTCTTTGCTCCCCACTTGGATTGAATTCCCCAAACACGCAAAACTCATTCTTACATGTCTCTGTCTTTACCCAGCAATATCTCCATCTGATCAGCTTTCCTTAACCCTACTTCCTGTGTAGGATTTCTCTAACCTTACTCTAATTCCCTTTATTTTTCAGTGCTCAACCTATTGCTTCTGAAAAGCTCTCTCTGACTTCCATAGTCCAGCTAAGACCTAGGTTTCCTTGAGATATTCTCATTGAACACCCTCAGAATGACAATTACATGCTATTTTGTAATTGATTTTTTTCTTATATGTATTCCATATTAGACTCCAAGTTTCTAGAGGACAGAGATCTGGGACTAGGAATCTTTTCTTCTCCATTATATATCCAGGTGTGTTCAATCCATAATTTTTAAATAAAGGAAAATGAATTAATATATTGTACATGGCACTGTGGGGGATATTCAAAGGAACTAGAACTATGTAGAATATTAAAACTCAGCCCTTTTTATTATAGGTGTGTATATTCAATAATGGTATTATATAATTAAGAAAATGGCAAATAATTTTCTTATATGAAGAGAAAAGCACTAAGTATAGATGGAATAAGAGTAGAGGGGTGAATTGGTAGAAGACGATGCAAGAGGTGGACAGATAACTTTAAGATCAATGTAACCACAAATTTTGTCACATCGTTGAAAAGCCTCTGTTCTTTCTAAATATAATGTAATAAAATATACTATCTATTTTAAAAGTAGAAGTAATTGAGGAAAAGAAAGGCAAACACATTAGATTGTATATGTCTATTTTCTGGAAGGAAATCTACAGATGGAAATACATTCATAAAGGGTGTCCTTCATGCTCTTAGGATAGTTAAGACTCAAATTATGGAGAGTGTTGCATGTTTCAGGATATGAATTATACAAGTCTGCCAACAGTTTATAAAATTTTACAAAATGTCCCAAGTTGCACAGCAAAAGTTCCCAGTCTGAAGCTGGGGGATCTAGAGATGTATTGAGGATTGAAGACAGAAAGCCATGAAGCAAAAACAGGTGGCTGTTACCTGTCTAGTGTGAAGGCATACATCTTGGTGGCCTTGTCAGTCACAAGATAAGTTCTTTCCGGGAACTCCATGGTGGCCAGGATGAGAGCTTTTGCTGCGTCTGTAGTTATTCTTGTTATTGTTGCTCTGCTGCTGCTGTTTAACTCACTGTCCAGTTTGGGAAGCAAAGCAGCATTATAAGTATTCACACACTTTCCAAAGATAAAAATAAAAGGGCTTCCGGGACTTAATAGAACAAGCCTCCTACATCAGTGTTCTTGTAGGTCTGCTAAACTTACAGCCTCCTGGAGTACCGCCTGGCCTCATTCTCTCACCCACAGGTTCCTTCCTAGAGAGACCTGCAGGGAGGATCCCGTGTGTGTGTGTGTGTGTGTGTGTGTGTGTGTGTGTGTGTGTGTGTGTGTTTTCCATGCTATCTGATTCCACTTGCTTTCTAAGAGGCGGAGGGCTCAGAGCTTCCTTCTAATTGCTGATGTAGAGATTTGGTCTTCAGAGCACACCTGAGTGATCTGCAAACAGCTACCCTCTGTACAATAATCTCATTTTTTTCCTCTTTTTCTTTATTTCCTTTTTTTGGGGGGAGGGCTCTCTCTCTCTCTCTCTCTCTCTCTCTCTCTCTCTCTCTCTCTCTCTCTCTCCATTTCTCCTGCCATTTAGTTCTAAGATGACCTCTAAGCAGCTGTCAGGATTGACTTCCCTTCTCCTAGGACCATTTTGGGATTTCAGTACTGAGCAGAGGACATGGGTCATTAGTCACTAAAGTCTGTAGACTGAAACCGTTCCTGGTGCGGCAGCTTTGAAACCCTTTTGACAGGCAGGAGGAGGGCAGACTCAGCTTCTAAGTAAACAACAGCCCTCAGCCATACAAGAACCAGAATGACCTGACTCACCAAGGAAACCCTGCCAGGCAAACCAATACCAACTCTTAGGAAAGGAGTTTTCTGAGCTGATCCCAGACACCTTCAACCATAGACTCCTAGGAATGAACATTTGATTTTACTACAAGGAACTTTCCTTTCCAAATAAGAAAAGATGACAGCCCCAGGGGAACAGGCCTTTGTATGTGGGCCAAAGAGCATCCAGGGCCTCTAGGGATGCATGCAAGATGGGCAGCGCTGAGTGGGAAAGGGGGCGTGAACCTGACCACGGAGTCCTTTTATTCTTTTCCCTCTGTCAACACTCATTTCTAGTGAGAAAACTCAGAGCAGTGTAGTACAGAGTAGCCCAGTGACCCAAAATCCTGACAGTGTGCCCATCTTGATGAGCACAAACCTCAATGACCCAATACAATAAATATTGTCCCCAGAAGGAGAATGGGCCTCGATGGCATTTGCAACAGCTGGTGAGGGGGAGAAGTTGTTTTTGGCTGAGAGGGAGAAGGCAGGCCTCCTGTCACATCTGTGGTGGAGCTGTGCCACTTCTGTGAGATTTCAAACACTATAATATTAATTCTATGGTGCCCGACCAGTGTGGCTCAGTGGGTGAGCGTCTGTCTATGAACCAGGAAGTCACGGTTCGATTCCCAGTCAGGGCACACGCCCAGGGTTGTAAGCTGGATCTCCAGTAGGGGGCGTGAAGGAGGTAGCCCATCAATGATTCTTTCTCATTATTGATCTTTCTATCTCTCTCTCCCTCTCCCTTCCTCTCTGAAATCAATAAAAATATATTTTTTAGAAAAATTAATTCTATGGTCTTTTCATAGGACCCATTGGCTAAAAGATTATTAACTTTTCTATGACACATGGATATGAGAGAAATGGCTCTGAGAGGCCATTTTTCCTTGCCAGAGAAGTTTTAGGTCTTGTGTTAGCAGAATAAAAAACAAACTAATTCCTTCTCACATACTTAACTTTGCAAAATAATACCTTATTCTGGAGAGGCAAAAGTAAGAATCCAGAAAAGAATTATGCTTCCATCCATGTGACACATTGCCACATGTTACAGATTGAATCATTTGTGAGTAGTTTCTAGCACATGTGAGAGAAATGGAATTCAAGTGAATGAATGTCAAAAATGGAGGAAACTGCTTAAAATTGGGTTGAAATCCATTAAGGATAAGTGCAAGGAAGAAAAGCAATATTCATATGTAGGAAAGAGAATATTTGGCTATAAATATCAACAGAAAACAAATAATGTGGAAGTTTGAGATTTGAACAGTTTTGTCACTAGCCTGTGTATGGATGCACAGGAATATTTACATTTGTTTGTGATTCTGCGAGGCTAGAGATACATACTATGTTGTTAAAATGAGTTGCTTATTGATACAAGGATAGAAGGAGGATCATTGAGAAGGGTCAGGTAAGACTGACTGGGACAGGATAAGGTGGAGATAGAGAAAGAGGGCATGGGGATCCAAGTAAAAAAGACAAGAATATAAAATATTGTGCCCCCAAAATGTATTCTTTCATCTCTCTTATTTATGTGTAAGTTGAACTATATAAAATTGCAAATTTTTAGTACCAGCATGGCCTATAATAAGCAATTTCATTCCATTGGACTTAAATATATATTTACACATGTCTACACACCAATTCTATCTAATAAAAGACAAAAAGGGTAATTGACCGTACCTTCTCTATGCTTCCCATTAGTTAATAAGGGCGATATGCAAATTAACCACCAACAAAATGGCAGCCGGCAGCCACACAGCTGAACCGAGCAGGAGGCTTGCTTGCTCCAGTGATGGAGGAAGCCAAGGTTTCCCGCCTGCCGCGGCCTGGCTCTGAGCTCTGAAAGCAACAAAGTTTCAATTATAGAAGCTAAACAAACCCCAGATACCTGCTTTCAGCAGGCCGTGGCCTCAGAGTTGGAGCGAGCAGGAGCCGGCTCTCAGCTCCAGTGACGGCAACAAAGTTTCTATTATAGAAGGTAAATAAATCCCAGAATAAAAAAAGAAAAGAAAAAAGGGAAAGGATGGAAGCTTCAGTCGCAGGCCAGCCTGAAAACGACCCTCAGCCCCTCACCCAGACTGGCCAGGCTCCCCAGTGGGGACCCCCACCCTAAAGGGGGTGTGGCCAGCTGCAAACAGCCATCAACCCCTCACCCAAGCTGGCCAGGCACCCAAGCGGGACCCAACCCTGATCCAGGACACCCTTCAGGGCAAACCAGCTGGCCCCCACCCATGCACCAGGCCTCTATCCTATATAATAAAAGGGTAATATGCAAACTGACCCTAACAGCAGAAAGACTGGGAATGACTGGTCACTATGACACACACTGACCACCAGGGGGCAGACACTCAATGCAGGAGCTGCCCTCTGGTGGTCAGTGCGCTGCCACATGGGGGAGCTCTGCTCAGCCACAAGCCAGGCTGATGGCTGCCAGTACAGAGATGGTGGTGGGAGCCTCTCCCGCCTCCTCAGCAGCGCTAAGGATGTCTGACTGCAGCTTAGGTCTGCTCCCCGCTGGCAAGTAGACATCCCCCAAGGGCTGCTGGGCTGCCAGAGGGATGTCTGATTGCCAGCTTAGTCCCAATCCCCCGGGGAGCAGGCCTAAGCCAGCAGGTGGTCATCTCCTGAGAGGTCCCAGACTGAGAGAGGGCACAGGCCAGGCTGAGGGACCACCCCCCCCCCCCCGAGTGCACAAATTTTTGTGCACCGGGCCTCTAGTAAATGTATATGTATACATGTGTGATACATTGAAAAAGAAAAAATAAATGTGCATATTTTAAAGTATTGGGAAACTAGGCACTATTTTCATCCAGGTTTGTGAATTTCCAAGTGCTACTCTTGAAGATAACTACTTTACTATAAATCAAAACTTCTGATGTAAGTAACATAAACGTTAGGGAATAAGGGATGATGGCAAATAAACTTTTATATTTAAAAAAATGCAAGTTTTGCTGCAGTAAATTTAGATGTAGATCAGTGACGATCAAGGATTGCCTGCATGCTACATTATGTAAAATATTCATCTGTTGATCACCTTATCCTCTCACAAGCTCATTTTCACGACGCCATTGTCCACCTCTCCCCCGTGTATTGTTAGCACAATGTTTATGAAAATTATCCCATCCTCCCTGACTCACCTCTGGCCCGCTTTGGCATGCACTGCCAACCAAGGGCCAATGGCCCTAATCAGACTCCACAAGAGTCACAAAATTTGTATTTGGAAAGCAACACAGATCAAAAAAACACATCCCCTCTCTTGTTCACAGTCGGTTTGGGTTGGCATTGTGCTGTTCATCCCAGTTTCCTAGGCAACCAGCTTCCAACCCATCCTGAATTACAGGTTGTCCTTTCCGCCCACTCTCCATCACAAGCCTGTAGCAACTGAAGGGGCAAAATGCAATTTATAACAGTTTCCTCTGGGAATAAATATTCTGTCAGCCGCAAGAACATCTCATCCCTGGCACAACCCAGCACTAGTTGGGCTCTCCGGTGCTAGCTATTGTCAGCAACAGTTTCTTAACAGGATTTTACAAGCAGTAGCCCTGTGCAGAAATAAGTTACATGAGTGTCTTAGCTTGTTTGATATTTCACTTGCAGGAAGGATGTGTGTATTTGTACAAAAATCACTAATCATCCCTAGACATTAAAGTACCGAGCTTTTATGATTTGCATTCACAAAATTTAAACTCATATTTCAGAAACATGAAATATTTGTTTGCATGGAACTCTCCTTTAAAAAGAGACATGAAAATGTGCTTGTTTCTAAATAATGTGGATTTTTCATCCTGTTTGGCTCTTTCTTGTGTGTGGGGAGAGATGGGTAATATAGTGAGGTGGCTTAGTGCATATGCACATGGGCTTTCAAATTAGACTTAGTTTTAGTTCTGGTTTGAACACTGCCTTACATGTGTGACCTTGAACAAGTTACCTGACCTCAGTGGTTTTCAGTTTCTCATCTGTAAAATGGGTGCATTAGTAGAACCCATCTTAGAGAGTTCTTGTGAACAGTACGAGAGGTGATGTGTATAAAAGTGCTTAGCATAGTTATCTGACATGTAACCCATTTTATATACAAGTGAGTTGCTATGGACTTAGCCTTGTCTAAGTAAAATGTTTTGGCTGTCCCTGAGAAATTGGCCCGGTCTTGGCAGAAGACTAAGAATTACACAAGGATAGAAGGA